TTCACACTATAACCAAATATTTGCTCAGCTCTCAGTCGTCACCCCAAGTGTAGAGCAGCTGAAGGTAGAGCAACACACGGTTAATCTTGTGGCTTTACGATGCATTTTGGCAGCGGGTGCATCCTTCCATCCTACTGGGTCTAATGTAAACAATCCTTCCATCCTAATGGCCTATGTAAACAAGAGCATCCTTCCATCCTAATGGCCTATGTAAATAAAAGCATCCTTCCATCCTACGGGGTCTATGTCAACATTATAGGATGAAACTAATTAACAGCACTCGAAAGTCATCCTCCATCCCATCCTGAGGGGCGTGACCTTTGACCTGACCACAGCTAGAGTGTATCATGATCAACGCCTCCACCTAGTCTGCTTTTGATAACAGACAGACAGACAGATTGATGACAGACAGACAGACAGACAGACAGACACACAGACAGACACACCAGATAGACAGACAGACAGAGAGACAGACAGATAGATGACAGACAGACAGACAGACAGACACACAGACAGACACACCAGATAGATTGATGACACACACACACACACAGACAGACAGACAGACAGAGAGACAAACAGATAGATGACAGACAGACAGACAGACAGATAGATAGACAGATGAATATTTCGAACCAACAGACTAATAGATAAGACGATTGAAAGGACAGAAAGAGGAGAAATAGACAGACGTACAAACAAATAAACAGAGAGAATGTCAGACGTTTAGACAGACAGATAGGCAAAAATGAATATAGGTAGACAGGCAGACAGACATTCTCACAGACAGACATACAGATAACACACAAAGATATCAAATGTCTCCCTCCCTCCCTCCCTCCCTCCCTCCTTCTTCCTTCTTCCCTCCCTCCTTTCTCCATCCTCCTCCCTCCTCACCATCCTTCCCTCCCTCACCCTCAAATACAACGCACCATTAGCGGGTCCCAACTAAGTCACATCTGTTGTAATCACCTCCACCATCAACAAACATAAGGGTACCAGGTTTATCGTTCTGTGGCCCGGGAAAAAATACACAACACCAATACAAATAAATAGACAATGTGAACTCTGATTTGTATTGTATATTTCACAGGTAATACACGGTGAGGTGATGATTACCTTGATGTGAGTAATTAGGTGAAAGTGTTCATCTATTTTACGGTATTAAATTGAGAGGTGGGAGGGGTGGGAGGGGATGGAAGGGGATGGAAGGGGAGGGGGAGATAATATGAGGGTCGAGTGATAGTGTTGAATGTGTGTTTATGTGTATATATATTGAGACTTTTTTAATTTAATGGATATAGTTATGAAATTATAAAGCACACACACGCACACACACACACACACGCTCATCATCTTCTCAAATAAATAATTAAAGTTAAGTAGCTGAACCAAAAACCTTATTAAGAAATAATTATCCACGAAAGACTTTATTGAGAAAATATCCCTTAATACAACCACAGGATAGAGTGAGTAGAGACGACCCACTCCATGAATGTTATACGTAACATAGGAGCTTTTAGTAAGGAGGATTTCAACTCATAGATGGCGTTGGTGTTCCCAGTCTGTGTCGTCTGTATGAGGTAATTTGGGGTTTTGTTTATGTTTTGTCGAACTAACCCAACGAATTCATGAACCAATGAAAAGGGACAACGAACCCAAATAATTTTTAAAACGATAAGGTAACGAACCCAATCATTATTAAAAGTAAGCACAACGAACCCCTTATCTTTAAAACGAAATGATAACGAACTCAAGAACCCAACGAAGCTCAGAAATTAAAAAAAAAGAACAATGATATAATATTCGTCTTAGTTTCGAACGCCTCAAAATATTAACGAATCATTTACCGAATCAACCAAGAAGAATACGGTCTAGATTCCATTACTATTTCTTCTAAAAACATAAAAACAAATTTCTCACATAAACTTACAGCTAAGAAACAGTAACAATTTCTCACTACATAACTCGTGGGAGATGTGTATAAAATACTGCTCAGTCTTAACCAACACCGATCCATCCAGCTTAGAAAACAAACTTGAAAGATTAAGTTGACCTCACGTACTGTACCTATGGAAGTGTTGAAATAGTAGTAATAGTAGTAGTAGTAGTAGTAGTAGTAGTAGTATTGTCACTAACTCACTTTGAACACACCAGGGGTTTGTTTCAGCTGTATAGAAGACCAAGCACTTACCCCATGAAACAGTAGCACTTATGGTCCCCAGGTTCCAGTAATGAAGGTCTTTCCTCGATTCCTGAGCCAGTAATGAAGGTCTTTCCTCGATTCCTGAGCCACACATCATTCCCTTTGAGACTCGGAGCACAAAAGGATGCTGTCACAGAGATCGTTTACCAGGCTAACATACCTGTACACACGTCATCACACGGTCCGCACCTGTACACACACCACCACACCTCTTCACACACACACACACCTTCACATCTGTACAGTGCCCACCTCTCTCTTTGTTTCACTCCCCCACAGGCTTCGAAGCTTCGTTAGTTTGAGATACATGAACCATAAGCTTCAAATCAGAAAACCAATATAGATGTTTTTATTAAGTGACGACAAATTAAGAGTAGTTTCATCAAGGCTTACGTGTTCCATGGGAGATTAAAAATTGTTATAAGTAATTAATGACTTTACCTGTGTAAGTGTATTAATACTTTACCTGTATAAGTGTATTAATATATTATAATTGCATAGAGGTGTATCAGTATATCATAACAAACAACAAGTGTATTTAGTATATTATGAATACAGCGATACTTTTTTTTGTTTTGCCTTAGTGTTTATTAATGTCATTGTACCGTGATGAAACTAGTCATTGTGCGGTGCTTAATTACCCTCGTAGATGAAACACTTAAGTAAATGAACACAAATAATGAATCTGTTTTCGTCTTTTGATGTCATTATTTTTGTTTCTTTATTATTATTATTATTATTATTATTATTATTATTATTATTATTATTATTATTATTATTATTATTATTATTATTATTATTATTATTGTTGTTGCTGTTGTTATCATTATGATATGTACTGTAGTTACCTTTAAATATCGTGGCTTGCATCAAATCTACTTCATCAAAGTTGCTCCATAGGTCAAAGTTCCTCCATAGGCCAAATTAACTCCATAGGCCAAAGTTCCTCCATAGGCCAAAGTAGCTCCATAGGTCAAAGTTCCTCCATAGGTAAAATTAACTCCATAGGTCAAAGTAACTCCGTTGGTCAAATTAACTCCATAGGTCAAAGTTATTCCGTTGGTCACATTATCTTCATTAAGGAATAAAAAGCAAAACCATGAAGTAAGTTCTTAGGGTTTATTGATTACATACACTTGTTTACAATATTTACACAATAAATGAAAACAATAAACAAATTCCATACATTGTTATAATATTTCTTTTATTTATCATCTCTTTACATAAATCTTCCAAGTTTTAGATACAAATGAGAACATGTGACCAGCTGCCTACACCTGTCAACACCTGTCAACACCTGTTAATACCTGTCAACACCTGTCAACAGTTTCCCAGCGGCCAACACCTATAAACACCCTCCCAGCTATTAACACCTGTCAACACCTGCTTATCTAACACCTGTCAACACCCTCCCAGCTACTAACACCTGTCAACGCCTGCTTATCTAACACCTGTCAACGCCCTCCCAGCTACTAACACCTGTCAACACCTGCTTATCTAACACCTGTCAACACCCTCCCAGCTACTAACACCTACCAACACCTGCTTATCTAACACCTGTCAACACCCTCCCAGCAACCTACACCTGTCAAGCCCTACCCAGCTACCAACACCTGCTGATCAAACACCTGTGCCCGCTATATCGTGATCGAGGAGAGTCATTCTTTGATCAGTGAGAGTAAACAGCGCTGCTTAATCTGATCATCACAAACTCACTGTCGATAAACTGATCAGGAAACTTACTTTTCTGATCACAACAAAGACCGATCCATTAATTTGATCATGGGAGGATTAAATCTTGATCAAGTCACATAATTTCCTGATCGCTAGATGGAATCAGAAGAAGTTGATCAGAAAAAGTTGATCAAAAAGCCTTATATCCTGATCATTATAAGCCCAAATGAATGTCTATTGGGGAACTTTGATCACTGATTGTGTAAAATGATCAAGGAATTCACGCTTAGGCATTATAGGTTAGTTTGATCACAGCACAATCTGATCATGGGGATATTCCTGATCAATAAATAGATCAGGTCGAGGATTCAGGCATAACTCTTTAATCCTAAGACCGAATCATTGCCTCGGATTAGGACCACATCTGAATCACTAATCCTTATAACCTAATCACATCCACTGATTAGGATAGACAGACACAGAACCAAAGAGAGAGAGAGAGAGAGAGAGAGACAGAGAGAGAGAGAGAGAGAGAGAGAGAGAGAGAGAGAGAGAGAGAGAGAGAGAGAGAGAGAGAGAGAGAGAGAGAGAGGGGGTGAGAAAAACAAAGAAAAGAAGGAGAGAAAAACAGAAAATGAACAGAAAAAGAGAGAGAGAGAAAGATAAACAACGAGAGATAAAGACAGCGAGAAAGAAAGAGAGATAGATACAGACAATACAAAAGAGAGAGAGAGAGAGAGAGAGAGAGAGAGAGAGAGAGAGAGAGAGAGAGAGAGAGAGAGCCTCCACTTCGCTAGACACAGGTGTTGTTCTCCTCTAAGTTCTAATTTCGTTTCACCTCAGCACCACCACCTGAACCACGACTCACGGGTCTCTCTCTCACACAGTATAAATATAATGCTAATATGTTCCTTTAAGTAGCAGTAGTAGTAGTAGCAGTAGTAGTAGTAGTAGCAGTAACAGTAGTAGTAGTAGTAGCAGTAGTAGTAGTAGCAGTAGCAGTAGCAGTAGTAGTAGTAGTAGTAGTAGCATCAGTAGTAGTAGTAGTAGCAATAATAATAATAATAATAATAATAATAATAATAATAATAATAATAATAATAATAATAATAATAATAATAATAATAATAATAATAATAATAATAATAATTAATAATAAGCAATGCAGATCAAATTAGTTTTTTTATATTATACATAGAATTAATATAATAATCCTAGGTCACCTGCAATATCTGTTAAATCATAGGTAATTAGAGGTAAAGGTGAAGTAATTATCGTCTCAATTATAGGTATGAATTATCACCGTTATCATCATCATATCGTTCATTGTCATCATCATAATCAATATTTTTTCTTCATATCCATACCATCATCATCATCATCATCATCATCATCATCATCATATCTCATATTCTACAATGAATTGATAAACTCCTGTCTCAATAAAAATAACAATATTAACAATGCAATAATAACCACGGTAACAATAATAATACAATGATAATACAATGATAATGATGATAATGATGATAATGATGATAATGATGACAATAACATTAGCTCGGGGTGAAGGAGGCTAGGGAGGGGGTCGGCATCAGGAAAATGGTCTTTACGCTTCAGTACCATAAGGGTGACGAGGTAGTGATGGCTGTCTCCTTCACTATATATATACACCTATCTTCCCTCAACGCTGGTGCTCACACTATCTTCTCTGAGCACGGAGGTACACACACACACACACACAGACACACACACACACACACACACACACGTTCGTTTGGCAAGACTGTCTTTAACATAATATTTATTTATTTTCTTCTCTCACTTCACAAACTCACTAAACTACTATAGGCCACTACACTAAGCTACTATATACAATAACATTCACCTCTAACTACCTGTAACACCCATTAACACACCTGTGGTATATGTCAGACCAAGCAACTGGGGGGAGGGGGGTAGGGGGAAGAGGGTGGGGGGGGGGGGGACTACTGTGTACAAATTACAAAACGCTATTTACATTAGGATCACCACAGAACAAGTAGTCGGTCACCCCTGGGTACATAAATTACCTATTATAATCCTTAATGACCCTCAAGATGTGAATAGTTATCTCTCTGTAGAAACTTATTTTTTCTTTAGGAGGTGGGGGAGGGCTGGGAATTTCTTCTATAAGTAAAGTAGAAAGGAAGAAATTAATCACTTATACAGTTTCTCTCGTCACCATTACTTGAAGAAAAAACACTTTAGTCTTCCCTCTGTCTTGGTTCGTTTTCTTTTTTTCTTTTCTTTTTTCCTATTGAAGAAAATTTTGCAAGTTTTTTCTCTATTTTCACTTGATACAATTTATGATATGATTTGTTTACGTCGGATAATTTGTTCTCTCTAAATAATCATCGGTCTATCGCTCACCAATATGTTACTTATCAACACAATGTTCCTCCATTATGTCAAGACACTCATTCCTACCTGTCTATTAACTAATCACTATATAACTTCCTCCTATATAACAATATATCCCATTTAAGATTCAACATATGGCACAATATCGATAAAAACGGGTCTTTATATCAATCTAGCCTCCTGATTGGTCGGATGGTTATTACGTCACTTGTTTTCAGTCCAGAATGATGTCAATTGTTTGTAAATTATTGTTTCATTCACATTATGTTCCTCGCCGTTTTTTGATTGGCTGGTTGATAGCCAATGAGGTCATTTGTTTACACCATATTGCGTCACCCACAGATGTTCTCGTCGTATCTGATTGGCTAGATGATAAACCAAGATACGCCAATAAGACCATCTGTTTACATCTGTTACGTCACTCGTAGATGCCTTCATCGTTTCTGGTTGACTGGAATGTGATCAGTGACGTCAGTGACAGAAGTGAAGTCGTGGAGAGACGCCCATCAGGAGCACGGAGGAGGGGGAAGAGGAAGAGGAAGGGGAAGAGTACACGTGAGGGAGAGGAGTGTCGGGTGATGCTGTGTGTTTCAGAAGATGATGTACCCGACGAAGAATGAGGCACCCACCGCCGTCAGGAGAGGGAAGACGCTCGCCCACGGCACTCTACGAGATCCTGCCGAAGGGATAAACAAGAGATCAAATATTACCCGGGGAAGCTGTGAGGTGAGAGATGTTTGTGTGTGTGTGTGTGTTTACCTACTACAGGAGTGTTTGTTGTTTGTGATACGTGAGGATGATGGCTGAGAGAGAGAGAGAGAGAGAGATGTATCGTGTGGTCTCTATGTATTCATCTCTCGCAGCTTATGCTAAATACATGTAAATTTCTCATATTTTCAATCGAGAAAAACAACTTTGAATATTATATTTTTACTAGGTCAAGATGCTAAACTAACCCATGACATCAAATGTACCCATGAAGTCACACTAACACACCAATGACAGCACAGTGTACCCATAACGTCACATTAACCCACCAATGACATCAAATGTACCCATAACGTCACACTGAACCACCAATGACAACACAGTGTACTCATAACGCCACATTAACCCACCAATGACATTAAATGTACCCAAAACGTCACATTAACCCACCAATGACAGCACAGTGTACCCATAACGTCACGTTAAACCCACCAATGACAACACAGTGTACTCTTAACGTCACATTAACCCACCAATGACATTAAATGTACCCAAAACGTCACACTAACCCACCAATGACATCACAGTATACCCGTGACGTCAGGTTAACCCACCAATGGCATTACAGTATACCCGTGACGTCAGATTAACCCACCAATGACATGACAGTATACCCGTGACGTAATAAACACTCACCTAAGTTCTGGCCAACAGCAGGCAGGTTGATGGTCATATCTTGGGTCACCTCCAGATCTTCCTCCTCTGTAAGACACAAAGTTAAGTCACTCTATGTCTGGGTGATACTTGTGGGTGATACTTGTGGGTGATACTTGTGGGTGATACTTGAGGGTGATACTTGTGGGTGATACTTGTGGGTGATACTTGTGGGTGATACTTGTGGGTGATACTTGAGGGTGATACTTGTGGGTGATACTTGAGGGTGATACTTGTGGGTGATACTTGTGGGTGATACTTGAGGGTAACTAGATGAAGAGCCTTGTCTCATCTTACTCAAGGGGTTAAGTCATTGTACTCAAGGGGCTAAGTCATAGTACTCAAGGGGTTAATTCATCATACTTAACAGATTAAGTCAGTACTCAAGATATTAAGACACTCCTTGAATACGATGACTTAACCCAATGAGTAAAATTGACTTAATCCCTTGAGTATGATGACTTAACCCCTTGTGTATGATGACTTAACCCCTTGAGTATGATGACTTAACCCCTTGAGTATGATGACTTAACCTCTTGAGTATGATGACTTAACCCCTTGAGTATGATGACTTAACCCCTTGAGTATGATGACTTAAACCCTTGAGTACGATGACTTAACCCCTTGAGTACGATGACTTAACCCCTTGAGTACTCTGGGGGAATGAGTGGGGTGAATAGGGTAGGGGGTAGAGAGGGGTGGGGGTTGAGAGGGGGGTAGGCGTACAGGGGGGGAGGGGGGTGGTTATGGGTAGGAAAGGGGATGAATTATATGATCAAGTTCCTTTTTATAAATTACATGAAATATTTTTTTTTTCATTAGTAAGATAAGGAGAAAGCAAACGAGAAAGTACAATTAGAAAGTTTAGACTCACTACTTTTTCTCGCAGTCAAAGGGAAAGGCATTTTAAAACTAATAAAAAAATAAGATATATTCTACACCAAGGGAATTAAATTTATTCTTATTTCTACGTATTTTCATTTTTTTTCTTATAAAACCATAAATAAATCCGTAATCTGTTGACTTATAATCTGTAATATAAATAAACGAAATATTACGTAATTATTGAACAAACTACAAAATTATAAATAACTAAAAATATTATTAAAGTAAACAATAGGCAAAACTGAAGAAAGAAAACAAACAATAAAAGCCAGAATAGCAATAAAAAATATTAAAGCGAAAATAAAAAAATAAAAAATTAATGAAACTCAGTCAAAATAATAGGGGGGAACATTTCTAACCAATGAGAACTCCGTATTAAGATGACCTACCTCCGTTCTGACCACTCACAGCCAGAGGATTGGGTCGCTTGCGCGTTCGATTCTCTGATTTGTCCCAGATCTGGTCTGTTCACGAGAAGAACAAGGGAACAAAGTCACGACTCATTGAACACAGGAAATAAAGTCATAATTCATTGAACTTAGGGGAAAAAAGTCATAACTCATTGAACTTAGGGAATAAAGTGATTACTTCATTGAACAAATAACTAGAAATGAGATATCTCAACAAAATTGTTTGAGATGTTGCTGAACGAAAATGAACAAAAGCGGTTATGTACTGATAAAATGAACATAACTGTCACTTATTGAACAATTGAAGAACATTGTTACTGATAGAACAAATGAACATAAGTGTCACTTATTGAACAAAAGAACAAACTGACTTTTTTAAACACAAACAAAATTACGAATTATTGAACAGATGAACAAATTTGTTACTTACTGAACAATTTACTACAATTGTTATCCATATTGAAAAAATGAACAGAACTATCTCTTATGAAACACGTGAATAAAAATGTATCTTATTGAACAAGTGAACAAAACTATGACTTAATGAACAAATGAACAAAAACAGACTTATTAAACACATGAACAGGACGGTATAATTGTAGACATAATAAGACTCCCCCCTATGTGCTATAAGCCCTGGAAAATTAATGGTATTATAGTAACTAATAAATAGCTATAAGGCTCCGTGTCTATAATTCTTAATAGCTATAGTGCTCCGTGTCTATAATTCTTAATAGCTATAGTGCTCCGTGTCTATAATTCTTAATAGCTATAATGCTCCGTGTCTATAATTCTTAATAGCTATAATGCTCCGTGTCTATAATTCTTAATAGCTATAATGCTCCGTGTCTATAATTCTTAATGGCTATAATGCTCCGTGTCTATAATTCTTAATAGCTATAATGCTCCGTGTCTATAATTCTTAATAGCTATAATGCTCCGTGTCTATAATTCTTAATAGCTATAGTGCTCCGTGTCTATAATTCTTAATAGCTATAATGCTCCGTGTTTATAATTCTTAATAGCTATAATGCTCCGTGTCTATAATTCTTAATATATAATGCTCCGTGTCTATAATTCTTAATAGCTATAATGCTCCGTGTCTATAATTCTTAATGGCTATAATGCTCCGTGTCTATAATTCTTAATAACTATAATGCTCCGTGTTTATAATTCTTAATAGCTATAATGCTCCGTGTCTATAATTCTTAATGGCTATAATGCTCCGTTTCTATAATTCTCAATAGCTATAATGCTCCGTGTCTATAATCTTAATAGCTATAATGCTCCATGCCTATAATTCTTAATGGCTATAATGCTCCGTTTCTATAATTCTCAATAGCTATAATGCTCCGTGTCTATAATTCTTAATAGTTATAATGCTCCGTGTCTTTAGTCTTCAATAGCTATAATGCTCCGTGTCTATAATCCTCAATATCTATAATGTTCCGTGTCTATAATTCTTAATAGCTATAATGCTCCGTGTCTATAATCCTCAATAGCTATAATGCTCCGTGTCTATAATCCTTAATAGCAATAATTCTCCGTGTCTATAATTCTTAATAGTTGTAATGTTCCGCGTCTATAATTCTTAATAGCTATAATGCTCCGTGTTTATAATTCTTAATAGCTATAATGCTCCGTGTCTATAATTCTTAATGGCTATAATGCTCCGTTTCTATAATTTCAATAGCTATAATGTCCGTGTCTATAATCCTTAATAGCTACAATGTTCATGCCTATAATTCTTAATGGCTATAATGCTCCGTTTCTATAATTCTCAATAGCTATAATGCTCCGTGTCTATAATTCTTAATAGTTATAATGCTCCGTGTCTTTAGTCTTCAATAGCTATAATGCTCCGTGTCTATAATCCTCAATATCTATAATGTTCCGTGTCTATAATTCTTAATAGCTATAATGCTCCGTGTCTATAATCCTCAATAGCTATAATGCTCCGTGTCTATAATCCTTAATAGCAATAATTCTCCGTGTCTATAATTCTTAATAGTTGTAATGTTCCGCGTCTATAATTCTTAATAGCTATAATGCTCCGTGTTTATAATTCTTAATAGCTATAATGCTCCGTGTCTATAATTCTTAATGGCTATAATGCTCCGTTTCTATAATTCTCAATAGCTATAAAGCTCCGTGTCTATAATCCTTAATAGCTACAATGCTCCATGCCTATAATTCTTAATGGCTATAATGCTCCGTTTCTATAATTCTCAATAGCTATAATGCTCCGTGTCTATAATTCTTAATAGTTATAATGCTCCGTGTCTTTAGTCTTCAATAGCTATAATGCTCCGTGTCTATAATCCTCAATATCTATAATGTTCCGTGTCTATAATTCTTAATAGCTATAATGCTCCGTGTCTATAATCCTCAATATCTATAATGTTCCGTGTCTATAATTCTTAATAGCTATAATGCTCCGTGTCTATAATTCTTAATAGTTATAATGCTCCGTGTCTTTAGTCTTCAATAGCTATAATGCTCCGTGTCTATAATTCTTAATAGTTATAATGTTCCGCGTCTATAATTCTTAATAGCTATAATGCTCCGTGTCTATAATCCTTAATAGCTATAATGCTCCGTGTAAAATTATCAATAATAACTATAAGGCTTCGTGTCTATAATGCTCAATAAATATAATGCTCTTCATATAAGATATAATAATTATATTCACATATAAAGTCTTATACATTAAACATCTCAAATAATAAGACTAATAAGACTAAGAGACTGAAGATATATAAAAGTCTAAATCCATAAGACTTAAGTTATAAAGTTATGCAAATATTAAAAAAAATATTATACATGAAAATAAAACTATAGAACCTTAACTATAAACTATAAGACTTCAAATGTAAAACTATACAGCTATAAACATATATAAGGCTTTTAATCATCACACTACAATATATAAAGCTATTGAATTATAAGCCTTTAAAGCTATAATAACCCTTTGTAAAAATATAGATTCATAATACTTAAGCACTATAGTATTGTAAGATTATAATATAAATCTTTAAGCCTTTATACCTATTATATGTCTTTAAAACCCTTGAACAATAAATATATACTACTCGAGAGTTATAAGCCTTTTTAGTCATAAGGGTATAATGATAATACTCGAGCCTAAAAGCCTTTATATCAGTTACTCTTTATGATTATAAGACTCTAATCCTATCAACTGTGCGCCAATATATCTATACGCTATAAGACTTTAAAACCCAAAGCATTTTAAGCAATAATACTCTAATCTATAAGACTTTCAACCTAATCACTATAAAATCATGTTACTACTACGACATTATTATGCTATACACTATATCTATAAGACTATAGGTGTGAAACTTATAAAAAAAGAGTTTATGAACCAAAGAACAGGGGTGATAAAGGCAGGTTGAGGGATAATTGATAAATAGACAGAAAAGGATGGCAGAGACAGACAGACAGGCATACAGAAACAGAGAGAGAGAGAGAGAGAGAGAGAGAGAGAGAGAGAAAGAGACAGACAGACAGACAGACAGAAACCTAATATAAGCCTTCAAAAATATGCATAATATAAAGTAAATAATAAAAAAAATATTAAAATCAAAACAAAATCAAAACAAAATATAAACAAAAATAAACAAACAAACAAACACACAAACACATTGGGAAGCGACCAGGTCAAGCCAACAGAGATATGACGTCACATGCAGGAGGTCAAAAAATATAAAGACGATAAGTTGTGAAATTTTGGATGAGATCAGAGGTCACTAGTCACGGGTCAGAGGTCACGGATCAGTGGTAACAGTTCACAAGTCACAGGTCACAAATCATGGGGTCAGAGTTCACACGTTAAAGGTCACAAGTCAGAGTTCACAGGTCACATATCACAGCTCACAAATCACAAGTTACAGATCACATACCACAGGTCACAAATAACATATCACAGGTCAGAGGTCACAGGTCAAAAAACAAACATCAACAAACTTACTATTGATCTGTTCAAACATCTCTGCTTCCGTAGTGAGTGGGAGAACCGTGGTGGGTGGGGGCCCAGAGTCTGTGGGAGGAGAGACAATGATGAGAAAGATGGTGAGAGAGAGAGAGAGAGAGAGAGAGAGAGAGAGACAGAGACGGCAATAACACACTACATTATTTATCAACTCACATTATAGGGATAAATTTATGAAGTAGATTCTATGGCTCGAACTAAAAGGTAGATTCTAATAGGTAGTTAAGTATATTAGACAGTTAATGGTAGGTTTTTGTATACAATATTTACTGGTAGATTATATATATATTTTATAACATGTAAATTATTGGTAGGATTAGGTTGATTATCAAATAGGTATATCATAGGGCAGGTAGATAATAAGTAGGTTCATAGGACAGGTAGATTCGAAGGTGATTCCAAAATAGGTAGATTGTAATACAGGTGAAACGAGGATATTCTCAGTAGATTTTATAATTAGTAGTCACAAAGTAGACTCTATAATAAGTAAGCTTAAATAAACACTAGAGAAAGTAGTTATCATAAAGTGAATAGAAAGTACAAAACCACAATTTTAAAAAAAGTAGAAGACCCAATAAATACGAATCCAAAGTAGATACCCCAAACTAAGAAGAGAAAGTAGAAACCCCAAACTAAGAAGAGAAAGTAGAAACCCCAAACTAAGAATAGAAAGTAGAAACCCCAAACTAAGAATAGAAAGTCGAAACCCCAAACTAAGAAGAGAAAGTAGAAACCCCAAACTAAGAAGAGAAAGTAGATACCCCAAACTAAGAATAGAAAGTAGAAACCCCAAACTATAGAATAAGAAGAGAAAGTAGAAACCCCAAACTAAGAATAGAAAGTAGAAACCCCAAACTAAGAATAGAAAGTCGAAACCCCAAACTAAGAAGAGAAAGTAGAAACCCCAAACTAAGAAGAGAAAGTAGATACCCCAAACTAAGAATAGAAAGTAGAAACCCCAAACTATGAATAGAAAGTCGAAAAACACCTCAGGATTAAAAATAAGTAAAAAAAAAAACACAATAAAGAAAAAATTAAACCCCACAAAAAACACAAGTCTAAAAAAAAAAAATTAAACCTCAATTAAAACAACACATAAACCCCACTACTTTAAGCAGGTACAAGGGGTTTAAAATCACTTACTATAGATCTTGATTGTACCATCTGTCTCTCCTCTAGGATTCTTAGCCACACAACGGTAGGTTCCGAAGTCGTCATGGGTCAGGTACCGCACCGTTAATAACATGTGGATCTTGTACTCCGGGTTACCTATGCGGTTCTCAATGTGGTATTTCTCTGGTGGGGAGGAAGAGGGTGGTTGGTCAGAGGTTGGTAGGGGAAAATAGGGAAAATTTGGGAGAAACGGGGAAATTTTGGGGAAGAAGGTGGAAGGTGGGGAAAATTAGGTAGAAAGTAGGGATATTTGGGGAAGAGTAGGTGGAAAGTAGGGGGAATTGGTGAAAATTTGGGAAAAATGGGTGAAAAGTAGATGGAAAGTATGGAAAGAGGGTGGAAAGTAGGGAAAAGGGAAGGGAAGTAGGGATAAAGGAAGGAGAGTAAGGGATTTAGTAAAAAGTAGTGGAAAGGAAGGGAAAGATAGTTAAAAATAGTTAAAAGTAGTGGAAAGTACTGCCGAGAGAACAATGAAAAAGTCATTATTAATAAGATATTGAAAGGCTGGGAAAATAATTAAAAAGTAGTGACTCATGAGTAGTTAAAAAGTAAGGAAAAGTAGTAAGCATTTAAAAGTAACCGAACCTTAACAAACACCTAACTACCATCATCAACCACCTAACTACCATCATCAACTACCTAACTACTTTCACCTACCAGAATCGTAGATCATGTTGCCGTCTCCCCGCGTCCAATAGTTCAAAGAAGTCGGATGAGCCTCAGTAAAGCATTCCAACACTACCGTCTTGCCTGTAGCCGCCCCTATCAGCTGATGAGGAATCCACAACATGGGCGGAACTGATCATGGGGGGAGAAGAGAAAAACATGGGTTGGGGGGGTTAGTTGGGGGGGGGAACATGGGTGAGATAAAGTGATAAAGAATGGAAATGGGTGGAACTAGATGATAGAGGGTAAAAATGGGGAAAATTGGTGTAAATGGGGGTGAGTTAGGTGATAGGGTTAGATAAATAGGCTTTGATGGGTAGATAAATGAGTGGTGGTTAGAGAAATGGGTGATGCTGATGGAGAAATGGGTAATGGGGGTTAGGTTAGAGAGAGAGAGAGAGAGAGAGAGAGAGAGAGAGAGAGAGAGAGAGAGAGAGAGAGAGAGAGCTAACTCACAATCGACGCTGACGAGTATTCTCTTGCTCACTGTTGGAGGATGACCATTGGAGGCGATACACAGGTAGGCTCCCATATCCATCCTGCTTACTTTACTGAGTCGTAGCACCTCGCCCTCAAACTCCAACACTGTGGGAGAGAAAGAGGGAGAATGAGTGAGAGTCCAGCACTGTGAGGGAGAGATTAAGAGTGAGAAAATGAGGGACTCTTTAGTGAGAGACAGTGTGGGAGAGGGTGAGAGACCTGTATGGCTCACTAAATTCTCCCCCCCTTAAGTAATGTTATTTTTCCCTCTCTAAAGCTGCGTTCATAATCGACCTAAAACTCCCTGGGAAAAAAAAAAGTAAATAAAAATAAATGAAAGAAAAAATTGTTATCTGATTAAAATACAGTTTATTTACGGAGTATTGTGAGGAAATAGATTGGAAGTAATTCGACACGGCCACACCCAGACACACTCCGCCTATGATGTGAAATAGAGGAGAAAAAGGAAAAAAATATAATATCAGAGAGTGAAAAATGCCCGCGGGAAATCCCCTTCGCCTCTTTGGTTGACGATTTATGTTTCCGTCTTTTTCCCATATAACACAACCTTCTAAACTTAATACACATCTCCACAACCACCAACAACACTCCTACAACCCTCTACAATAACCACAACCTCTTCAGACTACCGTATACGAGGGATAATCATGTAAAATCACTGATCATTTCTCCACGTGTGATAAAAAAAAATCAGATTAGAAAAATAAACAAGTAATCAACCATATGGCAACACTGCGGAGGAAATTGCCACCTTGTGGGTCTGTCATTTGTTATAGAGCGTTGTTATTTTCCCCGTTATTGTTATGGCGTTGATTTGGGAATGACGTTATTTATTTTTCAAGCACTGGTTATTTATTTTGTAAGTAGACGAGAGATGGGTGTGTTGGTCTCCCGGACGCCTGGGTAAAACTGGTCATTTGTCTGCTGTGAGGTACTGTTGTATAGTCCTTTGTAGTGTGTGTGTGTGTGTGTGTGTGTGTGTGTGTGTGTGTGTGTGTGTGTGTACTCTACCACTTCAAGATATAAATAACAACAAACCACCATCAACCCTATTATGTTTCCATCTCATAACGACCACCTACCTATAACAGACACCAAAACCTCTCACTCACACACACACACACACACACACACACACACACACACACACAGAGAAGCTAGAACCAACACACACACCAATGCAGGTAAAGCAAAAGCAAAGCATAAAAGCATAAAAAAACGATAAATCTCAAGAAAAAAAGATGAAATTGGCCTTAACAAGCGGTTGTGTTGAACTGACCCCCCATCCATCACCATCCCTAACACAGGCAGTCACTCACACACACCCAGATTACAGAGTCTTCATCACAAACGACTATTATTTTCACATTTGTTAACCTTAAGCACAGGAGTGATGGTAGCGGGCAGGAATAGACCCAGTGAGAGAGGAAAAAAAACCCAGATTGGTTGAGAAACAGGAGTGTGTTGGGTTATACTGCAGGTAGTTAAGTCACCCCTTCAAAAAAAATATATATTTACGTTTTCTTTTATAAAACTTCGAAAATATAATGTTGACATATATATATATTTTCAATAATAATGATAATAATAGTAATGAACACAATAGTCTTAATACTACTACTACTACCACTACTACTACTACTACTAATAATAATAATAATGATGACAGCTATGCATAAACTTACATTAACAATAAAGGAATCCGTCAAACTACTACAATTTGCATCTAGTTAAGTTACTCTTTGAAGGAGGTGTTTAAACATTCAATTATCTCTACTAATTTAATTATTTCCTCTCACAGACCAAGGCGAGGGAGGAGGCAATGGAGGGGTAGAGAAAGAAGAAGCAGAAGCAAGAGAAGAGTGATGGAGAGAAGGTAGAGGAAGTGTGAGAGGAAGAGAGGGGGGTGGGAGAGGGGGAGTCCGCCTGTTGGTCACTGCTACAAAACAACTCTATTTTTCCTCTGATCTGTTGCAGACGATATTGTGTGTGTTGGGGGTGTGGGGGAGGGTGTGTGTGGGGGGGTGTGTGTGGGGGGGGTGTGTGTGGGGGAAGGGTGTGTGGGGGAGTGGTGTGTGTGTGGGGAGGGTGTGTGTGGGGGAGGGTGTGTGTGTTGGGGGTGGGGGAGGGTGTGGGGGAGGTGTGTGTGGGGGTGTGTGTGGGGGTGTGTGGGAGGTGTGTAGGGGAGGGTGTGTGTGGGGGTGGGGTGCTGGGGGTGGGGAGGGTGTGTGTGTGGGGAGGGTGTGTGGGGAGGGTGTATGTGTGTGGAGGTGTGGGGGGGTGTGTGTGGTGGGTGTGGTGTGGGGGGGTGTGGGGTGGCGGGTGTGTGGGGTGTGTGGGGGAAGGGTGTGTGTGGGGGGTGTGGGGGTGTGGGGGTGTGGGGGGGGTGGGGTGAGGGTGTGGTGGTGTGGGGAGGGTGTGTGTGTGGGGGAGGTGTGTGGAGGGGTGTGTGTGGTGGGGGAGGGTGTGTGTGTGGGGGAGGGGTGCTTGTGGGGGGAGGGTGTGTGTGGGGGTGTGTGTGGGGAGGGGTGTGGCTGTGGGGAGGGTGTGTGTGGGGAGGTGTGTGTGGGGGGAGGGTGTGGGTGGGAGGGTGTGTGTGTGGGGGAGGGTGTGTGTGTGGGGGGAGGGTGTGTGTGGAGGGTGTGTGGGGGAGGGTGGGGAGGGTGTGTGTGTGGGGGAGGTGGTGGGGAGGGTGTGTGTGGGGAGGGTGTGTGTGGGGAGGGTGTGTGTTTTATTATGAATGAGAATATATAAGCAAACCAATAAAGAAACATTAAAGATAAAAACAAACAGAACGAAAACGGAAGGAAAGAAATTTAAGAAAAAAAAAACATTAAACATTTCTTCCGGAACGTCACTGACACATTTACCATCCACCAATCACAGCTCTTTTTTGCTCTGATTCTTAATTCTTACTGGTTAATATTTACATTCAGGAAAACCCAACCGTGTTATACCTTTCACCAATTAAAACTATCCCTGTCTTGATCCTTTATTTTTAATTGGTCAGTATTTCCACACGGAACGATATGTCCACCAATCACCTCTCTCTCAGTACTATTGCTGGTTCTAATTGGTTAATATTTATGACTTTTACTTTCCCAACAATAAAAACCCACCCGGTACTAACCCTTTAATTCTAATTGGTTAACACCTACGAAAAACCTTACCCTCCACCAATCCAAATCCACCCAGCACTCATCCTTTAATTCTAATTGGTTAACACCTACCAAAAACAAAAAATTCCTCTCCACCAATCAAAACACACCCAGCACTCATCCTTTAATTGTAATTGGTTCATATTTACACCTACGTAATGGTTTAGTCGTTCCCGCTACAGGCAAACCATCAATGGGCCGTAATTCTGGCGTTATCACCAATAGCTGAGTATAGCTTGTGAGTCATGGCTTAATAAAATGAAAAGACTGTGTTTGACTCCGACACGACAGAGAAAAACTTCAATGTTTGGTCTCTCTATAGCGGCGTGTGCAATATGAGCACTCGTGATGGGTGACGGGGGTGCTCTCTCTCTCTCTCTCTCTCTCTCTCTCTCTCTCTCTCAGGTCTGTGTATATATACCTATCTATTAATACGATCACACACACACACACACACACACACACACCATCAACATTCAACAATATTTTTCACCCTTCGACTAGTTTGAAATAAGACACAATTTCCTTGATAACTACCATAGGGGTCGTTAGGGTGGCTTGTTCCATCACCTGAGTTGGTCATTAGCCACCAGTTAATGGCAGGTAATGTAGGTTTTTCCGTGTAATTAAGATGGTATCAGGTCATGTGGGGGGGTCGTTAAGTGACCTCTCCCATGGCAGTGGTTTATAGGTCATCTGTAAAGTGTGTTGTTGTTGTAAAGTGTGTGTGTGTGTGTGTGTGTGTGTGGGTGCGTGTGGGTGTGTGTGTGTTGGTAGTATTTATAAGTAACTCTATCACACACTAACACACTCTAACACACTCCCAGGTGTTTGTGTTGTGGATCTCTCTCTCTCTCTCTCTCTCTCTCTCTCTCTCTCTCTCTCTCTCCCCTCTCTCAAACCTCCCCTCCCTTCCACTCTCCTTCCACCCTTCCTTCCTTCCCTCCCTTACTCCTATTTCTGTTCACCCTTCCTTTTCTCTCCGTCTCTCTCTCCCTCCACCCATCTTTCCTCGCCTCTATACCTCTCTCCTTTTATCACTACCTCCCTTCCTTCCCCTCCCCTACCTCTTTTCCTCCTTCTTTTACTATCTTCCCACTCCGTTCCTGCTTCCTTACTCCCCTCCTATCCCCTCCCTGTTTTCCCCCCCTTTCTACTAGTCCCCTCCTCCTTCCCTCTCTCTCACCCTCCCTCTCTCTCCCTTCCTAAGACTTGATAGATTATGACATATTGGCGAATCATGTTATTATATATCCGTTCAAGTATACTACAATGGCTCTTGATATAACCTTCATATATCCCCCTTCTATAATAGACCTAAGAGTATATTATAGTAGTGGTATAATTGATATCAGTTACTATATAAATGACCTATAACTATCTTATCTACGTATTTAATAGTCTCTTCAATATAACACTATAGTAAAGAATTTTCCTATATTAGGTACTGATATGATGGATATATTAGTATACTCTGTAATATAAGTGATATATGTCATTCAGATATAATGTGTAATGGTGGTTATGGTGAGGTTATGGTGTGTATGGTGGTAGTCATGGTGAGGTTGTGGAATCCATGGTGTGTATGGTGCAATAACAATGCTTTAACTCTCAGTGTAAAGCTGTTTGATTTCCATAGTATGGTGGAAGGTATGGTAGTTATGGTGGAAGGTATGGTGGTTATTGTGAAGGGTATGGTAGTTATGGTGGAAGGTATGGTAGTTATGGTGAAGGGTATGATAGTATGGTGAAGGGTATGATGGTATGGTGAAGGGTATGGTAGTCATGGTGATTGGTAGAGTGAAAGATTTAACAGTATGGTAGAATGATAGTGAAGCGTATGGCAGTGTGGTAGAATCATGGAAAAGAATATGGTAGTCGTGGTGAAGGGTATGGTAGAATCATGGCAGTGAACATGGTGGTGGG